TTTAAGAAATAGTTTTTCTATACTATTAGGCCTTTTCTTTTTGCCACTTGACATGCTTATTAAGAATTAAACGTACTATGCTAAGTACTATGAGGCATATAAAGTGAATTTAGCATCATCTCACCCTTCAAGCAGCTTATGGTTTGGTAGAATAAACGAGACAGGGACACAGATGGTAATAATACAATGTAGACTGTGCTAAGTGCCGTAAGACATATACATGGAGGCCTCTGGGATTTAGTCAGGCATGAAATTGCCTCCAGCCATGGGGCTGGAGATTTCACAGGGGAGAACTGGAGCCAGGCTTTGAGAGAATGATAGAGTATGGATGGGAGAGATAATGTCAAAGGAAATTCCCACTGGAAGGAACTGCATGAGCCACGGTATGGCGTGGGGGAAGTAAAGGCCCTGTATAGGGGACATGTTCAGGCTTAGGGGAGTGTCTGGGACTTTGGTGGTGATAATAGTAGCTACAGCTGTGTAAAAAGAGATTAAGGCCTGATCACCAAGGGCTTCGCATACCAGGCTGAGGATTAACCTTGCTCACAGGCATTGTAAAGCTGTTAATGATTTTTTGGCAGTGGGTAGCTGCAAATAGAGTTGCCACTTAAGAATATTAGTATGTGAGCGCTGCATAGACTGGGTTGGGGACAGGAAGAGACTTTGAAGCAAGAAAGACAGGTAGATATTTGACCAGGTGGATGCCGGGCACAGTGGCTTACACTTGTAATCCCAGCATTTTGGGAGGCCAAGCAGGTGGATCACCAGGTCAGGAGTTAGAGATCAGCCTGGCCAATATGTTGAAACCTTGCCTCTATTAAAAATACAAAAATTAGTCGGGCGAGGTGGCACACGCCTGTAATTCCAGCTACTCAGGAGGCTGAGGCAGGAAAATCGCTTGAACCCAGGAGGCAGAGGTTGCAGTGAGCCGAGATCATGCCATTGCACTCCAGCCTGGACAACAAGAGCAAAACTCCATCTTAAAAATAAATAAAAATTGTTTTAAAAAAAAGATATTTGGCCGGGCGCGGTGGCTCAAGCCTGTAATCCCAGCACTTTGGGAGGCCGAGACGGGCGGATCACGAGGTCAGGAGATCGAGACCACCCTGGCTGACACGGTGAAACCCCGTCTCTGCTAAAAAATACAAAAAACTAGCCGGCGAGGTGGCGGGCGCCTGTAGTCCCAGCTACTCGGGAGGCTGAGGCAGGAGAATGGCATAAACCTGGGAGGCGGAGCTTGCAGTGAGCTGAGATCCGGCCACTGCACTCCAGCCTGGGCGGCAGAGCGAGACTCCGTCTCAAAAAAAAAAAAAAAAAAAAAAAAAGATATTTGACCAGGTGGAAGGTAATGAGGTCATCAACCAGGATAGTGACAGTGACAATGAAGATGAGTGGATGGGGTGCAGATTTTGAAGGTAGATCAGCAGGTCCCATGTAGGTCGTAGGAGAGGAGAGTATTAATTGACTCCTGAGGTTCAGAACTTCCCCAAACCCCTGTTCATATAGAGAAAAGCATAATCCGAGTGAGGCAGAAGGTGGAGCAGCAGATGTAAAGGGCCTCTGCAGCTGTGTGTCACATCTGTTGGTTGGTCTGTAAATGTTCTACTTGGCAAAGCCTTTCAATGCCTGAAATAGTTGGCCAGTTATGCGCAGTATTTGGCCTTACAAATCTGTATTAGAAAACTGCACACCACCTCACAAGGCTCAAGATCAGGACCTGAGCTGGAAGATTTCTAAGTAGAGTCTATTACTCCTGCACCTGGTAGTCTTCATACGATCAAGACTGTGTCACAGTTTCCATTATGCACATAGTTTCTCATTCCACCCGCTTCCACCGAGGTTTATAAAACTTAGCAATGAAAATTTGCTCCCGCTGGGAACTTGGCAGGAAGAGTATGTTCTTAGCCCAGCAGCAGTTCTAGTTCAAATTTTTTTTTTTACAAAATTGGTTTAGTGCATTTTATAAAATGCATATATTAATCTAATTCACTTCAAGTTTTTCAATAACCATTTTTATTCCATTTCACCTTTAAGGCAGCTCACGGAGAACAAGTAGGGAATATATCTCATGAGAAATCTACTCTGAGTATGTTCTGAGGCACTTGCACATTTTTTCCCAGAATTATAAAACTTTGCCTTAAATTTTTAACTTACGCCACATGGCATCTACATCATTGCTTTTTCCATGGATTTTTAGCATGTTGACGTTAGACTTGAGAAATGTCATCTGGATCCTTCTTTCAGATAAATTCGTGATGCAATTATTTGTCTTGCTTATAAAGGTGTCAGAGGGCCAGGTGTAGCTGCTGATGTCTGTAATCCCAGCAATTTATGGGGCTGAGGCTGGAAGATTGCTTGAGCCCAGGAGTTCAAGACTAGCCTGGGCCATATAGTGAGATGCCATCTCTATGAAAAGTAAAAAGATTAGCCAGGTTTGGTGGCACACACCTGTAGTCCCAGCTGGAAGGCTGACGTAGGAAGATCAGTTAAGCCTGGGAGGTCAAGGCTATAGTGAGCTGTGATTGCATCACTGCACACCAGCCTGGGCAACAAAGCAAGGCTGTCTCAAAATAAAATAAAGATATCAAAGAAGGCATTCGAAAACCCTAACTGTGTCGATCTAAAGTTTGTCAGATTTCATTTTCAGGAAATGCTTTAGGTTGTGGCCTGAGTTCGTTTCCTTGTTAGAGATGTCCAGCAACTGACTGGCTCATCCTTCAGCTCCTTGAGGGGCCAGGCCTCTGCCTACTCTTGTCTAAGCCATATGATCATCATGGGAGCTAATATTTTAGGGTAGAACTCTTGGCCAGACACCGTACAAAGAGCATCATACTTGTTTAACTCATTACAGTCCTATTCTACAGATGAGGAAACAGACTGAGAGCTGAGATAACTGGCCCAAAGTTAAGCTGCTCTAACTGACCTTAAAGGCTGTGTCAGTCCTTAGGCCAGTGTTTCTCCCACAGTGCCATGCTTCCTTCCTCATTCCATGCTTGATCAAACCCCAGCCTTGTGGTCTATGAATATTCATGTTTGAATGAGCTGAACCTTTCTCAGATATAAGCCAACTTCCGTACTGTGCTTTTGCTTCATATCTTGGATAGTAATTTGGTCCCTGTGCCAAAGGAGCTCAGGTTGTTCAAGCAGCCACTTACCCTTTGCAGAGATGTGTTTTTTTAGTTATAGTCTGGGAGTCTTGCTGTGGTCTTTCTTAAATGGATTTTGGTTTTTATGGAATGGGAATTGGTGAAAGGAGCAGGCTGTAATGGGTTTCAGAAGTTTGGGGACAGTTGTGTAGAATTTGTTCTGCCTATCATTTTGAAGCCATAACATTCTTCACTTTCAGTCAGCAGTGGGTCTCATGAGGTTATAAACTCATTTTCTGACTTTGAGAACCAAATGAAAGTAGAAACCCAAAATCAACTTTATGACTGACTACTCATTACTTAGCATCAAACAATGAAAGATGCATTTATTAGTTATCTGTTGCCATGTAACCAGTTACCCCCAAAACTCAGTGGCTTAAAACAATAATAAGCATGTATTATTTCACAGTTTCTGTGGGTCACGTAATTATGGAACAGCTTATCTGGCTGGTTCTGGCTTAGAGTATTTCTTGAGATTGTAGTCAAGACATCAGCCTGAGCTGATGCTGACTGGGGCTGGAGGATCCACTTCTAAGGTGGCTTATTCACATCACTTTTTCTAGTTAGTTTAGACTTTTGGAAAGAGGCCTCAGTGCCTTACCATGTGGTTCCTCTCCATAGAGATGCTGAGTGTCCTCACAACATGGCAGCCAGCTTTCCTGAGTGACTGATCCAAGAGAAAGCAAAGTGGAAGCCACAATGCTTTTTATGATCTAGCCTCAGAAATCACCCACTGTCATTTCTATAACATTTCATTGGTCACACAGGTCATCCCTGTGCATCCTAGGAGGAGACTACACAAGAGTGTGAATACCAGGAGCAAAGATCACTAGGGCCATCTTGGAGGTTGGCTACCATACACCACCATTCTTTTCCCCCTTTTGTTGAGAAGAGGAGTAGGAGAGAAATAATACAAATAATGCTGGAAAAATAGAGAAGGATAAAAGGATATGGAATGTAAAACACATCACCTCCCTCTGGCTTCTGACAAGCTGTAATTCTGCTAAGGAAAGCTAAGGAGCGTGGAGGCAGGGGCATAGATAATATTAAACCAACTAGGCTTCTGCCATTTTTAAGCAATAATGACACCTTTCCCACTAACTCCAAATTCTGAACCGAGGAGAAACAGACCCAAATGTCAGAATAATGGAGAAGAGAATGTCAACCTCATCACTGGTAATGTGGGATTGAATTTGTGGCCACAGCCCTCCCCTCCACATCTGGACCTTGGGACTGCTTTCCCAAGGGATAATCTGGGTGTGTGAGGCAGATTACCTTCCTCAGAATTGCTGCCTCGCCCATGTCAAACCCCAGTGTAAGGGACACAGGGACACAGAGACAGACTTCCAGACTCACCTTCCTGACGTCTGTGTGCTTACAACATAGAGATGGAGCAGAGCCTCCTCAGCCTGTGGGCAGGCGGTGCAGAGAGGACTGAACCCCCGGCTCAGCTACTTCTTCCAGTCTCACCAATCAAATAAATTCACTCCTGTTTCCTTGGAGAAGAGGGAGGGACAGAAATGATACCCCTCCCAGGAAATGAAACGAAACTCTCCTTTATGGCCAAGATACAAACACTGGGAGGGAACAAGGATGGCTGTCCTTGTTAAGGTCACTCAGATGAACCAGACTGGGCCATCAGTAGTGGGTTGACACACATATCCAAATCCGATCTTCGTTAGTACCAAGTCTATACTAAGCAGAAAATAGCAGCATTTTGAGTTGTTTTACAATCATGAACAAATTAATGTTATTTCCTATTTATGTTGAGGTTCGTGCAGACTAACAGTAAGTACACCGTTTTTTAAAATCACTGCTTTGATTTGCCTTAACCAAAATCTCTTTCTTTCCTAGGCACAGGGTGGTGGTTTCCTATCCTCCTCAGAGTGAGGCAGAACTTGAACTTAAAGAAGGAGATATCGTGTTTGTTCATAAAAAACGAGAGGACGGCTGGTTCAAAGGCACATTACAACGTAATGGGAAAACTGGCCTTTTCCCAGGAAGCTTTGTGGAAAACATATGAGGAAACTGACACTGAGGAGGCTTCAGATCACTTCACACAACAAAATAGCACAAAGCAGTTTAACAGAAAGAGCACATTTGTGGACTTCCAGATGGTCAGGAGATGGGCAAAGGACTGGTATGTCACTCCGATGCCCCAGCACAGTTACCCCAGCGAGCAGAGTGAAGAAGATGTTTGTGTGGGTTTTATTAGTCTGGCATCGGATGTGTAAGGTGTGCCTTGTACTGTCTGATTTACTACACAGATAAACCTTTTTTTTTTTTAAAGATATATAGCTAAAATGGACAATTGTTTACAAGGCTTAACTAATTTATTTGCTTTTTTAAACTTGAACTTTTCGTATAATAGATACGTTCCTTGGATTATGATTTTAAGAAATTATTAATTTATGAAATGATAGCTAAGGAGAAGCTGGATTATCTCCTGTTGAGAGCAAGAGATTTGTTTTGACATAGAATGAATGCATTTTCCCCTCTCCTCCTCCCTGCTACCATTATATTTTGGGGTTACGTTTTGCTTCTTTAAGATAGAAATCCCAGTTCTCTAATTTGGTTTTCTTTTTTGGGAAACCAAATATACAAATGAATCCGTATCGATTAGGGCCTGGGGTAGAGAGACAGAAACTTGAGAGCAGAGAAGTTAGTGATTCCCTCTCTTTCTAGTTTGGTAGGAATCACCCTAAAGACCTAGTCCTCAATTTAATTGTGTGGGTTTTTAATTTTCCTAGAATGAAATGACTGAAACAATGAGGAAGAATACAGCACAACACTTGAACAAAATGTATTCAGAAATATATTTAGTTTTATAGCAGAAGCAGCCCAATTGTTTGGTGGAAAGTAGGGGAAATTGAAGTTGTACTCACTGTCTGAGAATGGCTATGTCACTGTCACTGTCTGAGAATGGCTATGAAGCGTCATTTCCCATTTTATCCCAACGGACCTGCATGCCCAGGACACAAGTAAAACATTTGTGAGATAGTGGTGGTAAGTGATGCACTCGTGTTAAGTCAAAGGCTATAAGAAACACTGTGAAAAGTTCATATTCATCCATTGTGATTCTTTCCCCACGTCTTGCATGTGTTACTGGATTCCCACAGTAATATAGACTGTGCATGGTGTGTATATTTCATTGCGATTTCCTGTTAAGGTGAGTTTGTACTCAGAATTGACCAATTCAGGAGGTGTAAAAATAAACAGTGTTCTCTTCTCTACCCCAAAGCCACTACTGACCAAGGTCTCTTCAGTGCACTCGTTCCATCTCTGGCTAAGGCATGCATTAGCCACTACACGAGTCATTAGTGGAAATGGTCTTTTATGTCCTCCCAGCAGACAGACATCAAGGATGAGTTAACCGGGAGAACTACTCCTGTGACTGTGGAGCTCTGGAAGGCTTGGTGGGAGTGAATTTGCCCACACCTTACAATTGTGGCGGGATCCAGACGAGCCTGTCTTTTTATATCCATTCTTTGATGTCATTGGCCTCTCCCACCGATTTCATTACGGTGCCACACAGTCATGGATCTGGGTAGTCCGGAAAACAAAAGGAGGGGAGACAGCCTGGTAATGAATAAGATCCTTACCACAGTTTTCTCATGGAAAATAGATAATAAACCCTTTCATCTTTTTTTTTTCTTTTAAGAATTAAAACTGGGAAATAGAAACATGAACTGAAAAGTCTTGCAATGACAAGAGGTTTCATGGTCTTAAAAAGATACATTATGTGGTTGAAGATGAAATCATTCCTAAATTAACCTTTTTTTAAAAAAATAAAACACTGTATATTATGTTCCTGTGTGTTGAATTTTTAAAAAAATACTTTACTTGGATATTCATGTAATATATAAAGGTTTGGTGAAATGAACTTTAGTTAGGAAAAAAAGCTGGCATCAGCTTTCATCTGTGTAAGTTGACACCAATGTGTCATAATATTCTTTATTTTGGGAAATTAGTGTATTTTATAAAAATTTTAAAAAGAAAAAAGACTACTACAGGTTAAGATAATTTTTTTACCTGTCTTTTCTCCATATTTTAAGCTATGTGATTGAAGTACCTCTGTTCATAGTTTCCTGGTATAAAGTTGGTTAAAATTTCATCTGTTAATAGATCATTAGGTAATATAATGTATGGGTTTTCTATTGGTTTTTTGGAGACAGTAGAGGGAGATTTTGTAACAAGGGCTTGTTACACAGTGATGTGGTAATGATAAAATTGCAATTTATCATTCCTTTTCATGTTAATAATTTGAGGACTGGATAAAAGGTTTCAAGATTAAAATTTGATGTTCAACCTTTGTATGTCCCTGTGTCAATCCTTAAAATTTTGCTTTTTTAAAAAACAGAAAACCCAGGACACATTTAACCTAATTTGTACCTTACAAGAATTTTTTGCATACACCTCAAACGGAAGATGTCTACAGGAATCAATTTGGTGATTGTGACACATTTTACCTCTGCAACTAACAAACCTTGTTTATTTTTCCAAGAAGCTTAAAAAGAGTTTGTGGAGTCACACAAGGTCATGTATGGCGCTTGCGTTCCCCTCTTCCTCTTCCAGTTACTAAAATAATCTGGTGAGTGCTAGAAGTTGTCGTAGCCATAGAAGGAATAGCAGACCTATAACCAATGGTATGATAACCCGTAAGTCTCAGCATGGCTTGGGGACAAAATCCCCCATCATGGTTTTAATCTCCCGTGAAATGAAAGGGCCATGTAAGTCATGGTAAAAACTTTTCCTACTAACTTTTGGCTACTGTCAAATGACTTATCAGAATTGAAAATCAGGAATTCTAGGTCGTATTGTAGCTTTACCAAAAACTACCTCTGTAGCCACCTGGGCAAGTGGATTATTACTTAGTTTCCTCCTTTTAGTGTCCCATCTACCCCACTGGGTGAGGATGAGGAGCAAAAGAGAGAATCTCACTGTTTTTGAAAAGTGCTATTTTAATATGTGGCATTAATTTTATCTCTGGTTTCAAATATTTCGTCTCACACTCTTGGAGTATATGATATAATGCTTTTCAGGGTCTAATTGGTTTTAGAAGGAACAAATTAAGGTGATGTTTCCAACTGCTATGCATTTAACTTTCTGTTCCTATAATATAACATATTTGCATACCTCCAGAAGAACATTCAATTCTCTGAATATTTCAATCCAGAGCGATAAACAACATTAGAATTCAGGTTTGGAAAATGTGTTTAATAGATGTTTGACTAAGTTTAATAGATGTTTGACTAACAACTCTTTATGTGTATTCGTCGAATTTTTAAAAATGTGTTTGAATCAATTAAACTATGTCATTATCAATGTGGCATCCTATTTAAATTACTTCTTTTCCAGGAAAAATAATTAGCAGCCTACCAGAATCAATATGATATTTATAAGAGATTAATCATGTCCAAGCAAAGGGGTGTAGCCCTCGCTAACTCCCTGTGGCTGCAGGCTATAATGGGGTATACTGGGGGACTTTGCCCTGCCCATTAGTGTCACCAGAGGCAGGAAGGAGCTATCAGAGTGAGTAGTCACCTGCCAGTGTGAACAGTGACAGTTTTAGAATACCTTCTCTTAGATTTACAGATGAACATCCCTTGGATTCCTTTTGCGTCTCCTACTAATACATTTCTGATTTGGCTAGTTTTCCATTTCAGAAACACCACCCGCATCTCACTCATTGCAAATTCTTACTGTACTGTGATGATCCGGGCTCTGTAAGCATGCTGCAGGCACCTGCAAGTGGCATTAATCTTTGAGTCTCAATTCAATACTATTATAGAGTCAGACTACTCTAGTAAGTCTACAAAGATAATGGAATTATCCCGGCCAGTAACCAGTGAGCCAGCTGCCACTTCTATTGCCTACACCTTAGATAAGAAATTTGGTTCCAAGAGGTCTTTGACCTTGGGGTTGAATCTTTCAAGCTCTGAATCCTTGTGAAAGTACTAGAAGAAACCATGATAGACTTTGGCATGAGAAGGCATTCCTAAATAGGATTCAAAATTTAGAGACAATTAAAAAAAAATACCTTGATAAATTGTACAAAAAACCAAAATAGTTACATGACAAAATACCATAATCAAAGTCAAAAGAATAAACAATGAAATAAATTATTTGTTAAGTCCTATAGCAGGCAAAGAGATAATTTCCTTTACATATAAAAAAACTTCTACAAATAAGAACAAAAACCCCAAAGTAACATTTACCAAGCATTTGTGACAGAAATTGCCAATTGTCTCTGAATATTTTCATTTTCTTTTTTCTTATCAACTGGTATCCGGGCTTTGTGTGTAGTTAAAAAGTTCATGTTCATCAGGGTGTGGTGGCTCATGCCTGTAGTCCCAGCACTTTGGGAGACCAAGGCAGGCAGATCACCTGAGGTCAGGAGTTTTGAGACCAGCCTGGCCAACCAACATCGTGAAACCCCGTCTCTACTAAAATACAAAAATTAGCCACATGTGGTGGTGCATGCCTGCAGTCCCAACTACTTGGGAGGCTGAGGCATGAGAATCATTTGAACCTGGAGGCGGAGGTTACGGTGAGCAGTGATCGCCCCACTGCACTCCAGCCTGGGCCACAGAGGCAGACTCAGTCTCAGAAAAACAAAACAAAAAAACTCATTTTCCAGTCTCCCTTAAGGTTAGGTGCAGCCATGTTACTAAGTTCTTGCTGAGACACAAGCAAAAGTGTCACAGGGAACTTCTGGTAAAGCTTTGTAAAAGGGGGAGGAGGCTGGGTGCAGTGGCTCACACCTGTAATCCCAACATTTTGGGAGGCCACGGTGGGTGGATCGCCTGAGGTCAGGAGTTCAAGACCAGTCTGGCCAACATGGTGAAACCCTGTCTCTACTAAAAATACAAAAATTAGCCGAGCGTGGCGGCACATGCCTGTAATTCCAGCTACTCAGGAGGCTGAGGTAGGAGAATCACTTGAACCTGGGAGGCAGAGGTTGCAGTGAGCCAAGATTGTACCACTACACTCCAGCCTAGGCAAGAAGAGCAAGACTCTGTTTAAAAAAAAAAAAAAAAAATGTAAGTTGTTATCAGAACATAGGTGACTGTTGGAAGCAGAATGCTTGTTCCCAGGTACCACAAGGAAAAATCAGCATTCAGACAAAAAGTTCTCTCAGCAAGGCAGTTTTACTTTCTGCAGAAAGGGTGCTCTTAGCAGATGGAACAATGGCAAGAGCACCCTTTCTAAATAAAAGTGATTTATTGTGGGATTGTAGAAAGTAAAGGATTTCCTCTTCAAAGTTTCCCTTCTTGTTAAAGGATAATAGTAAATCATAAATGTTAGAAATAATTTAAAGACTAACTTCCTTCAAGCCTCCTTGCTTTGTGCTAATAACTCTTTGTTAAGCCTTAGCCTATGTAGCTGTTAGACATGCTCGCAAGGCACATAGGACATTCTATGTCTGTATCTTAACCGAGATATTTGTGCTAGACATGCTCACAGGCACATTCCAGCTTGCAACCTATGCCCTTTCCCTATTTGGCATAAGCAACTTCCTCTTTTCCTTTGTTCTCCCTTGCCTTTACCTATTTAGGAAAGTTTTAAATTCTTAGCCAATCAGGTTTTAGTTTAGATTGTGCAGTCTGGCTCCAGCCAGTGGAGACAGGACACAGTAGCAGGGACAAGCTGCGTAAGGGATAAAAATTGCTTCCCTCCTTTGTTCAGGTGTGCTCTCGCCATTGTTCCTTCTGCGAAGAGCACCCTTTCTGCAGAGTGAAATTGCCTCGCTGGGAGAACTTTTTGTCTGCTTGCTGATTTTTCCTTGCAGTACCAAGGAACAAGCATTCTGTTTCTAAATAAACATTTTACATGTAACAGTGACTTTTAAGATGCAAGAGATGTACTAATGTGGTGGAGAAAGAAAGAAGGAATATGATACCCCAGTAAACTTGAGCCTTCATGCCAGCCTGAACTACTCATCTCTAAGTATGATTTAATTGAGAATAAACCTCTTGAGTCCAAGCTACTGTAGTCTTAGCCACCACCAAACTGACTGGTATCAATATAAACTGACAGTTCATTAAAAATATATATTCGTATGTAAGCATTATTTCTATGTTGTTATTTATATATATACACTAAAAGATGTTCCACCTAATTTGTAATGTAAATGCAATTAACAACAATGGAATATTTTTTACCTATAAAATGGGAAATTTCTAAAAATTTGAAATAACTTGGCTAAATGAGGGACATTCAGTATTTTGCTGACAATGTAATTTCAAAAAATGTATAGGAAAAGCAATATAGATAGAAAATACCAAAATTACAAATGTTGTTTACCCATTCTACTTGTAAGAATTTGTCCCAATATACTTACTCGTCAAGTGTAAAATGACAGTACCATATTCTTTGCAGTGTTGTTTATAATAGCAAAATACTGGAAACGACGTAAATGTTTACCGATATGGAAATGGTTAAATGGATTACAGTAAATCTATACAGCAGTATTCTGCATAACCATAAAAAAAAAGAATGAGGAATTTCTTTATGCATGGGTATGGAAACATCTTTGAGATAGCTAAACAAAAAAGATAAGGTAGAGTATGCTACCATTTAGTAAAATGTTAGGAGGGGAGAGAATATATCTATTAGCTTCTATATGAATACAATATATGGAAAGAAACTGGAATGATGGTTGCATTACCATTGAAGATGAGACCTCTGCTAACTTAAAGTACATTAAAGTCTCATCAGAAAACAGACACATCAAAGTGAAGTGGCTCCATTGTCTGGGGTAAATACCTGGAGTTCGTCGTCTTGCCCCAGGAAAATTTAGGACACAGACGCTCACAAGGAGGTTAGGAGCGGAGGTTTAATAGGCAAGAGAAAGGAAAACAGCTCTCTCCCTAGTGAGAGACGGGACTTCCAAGAGGAAAAAGACCAGCCAGCAGGGGATGCGCTGGATTTTATAGCCAGGTGTGAAGTGGCACTGTCTGATTTACATAGGGCTCACAGATTGGTTTGATCAGGCAAGATGTTTACATAGTGTGCAGGGAAGGCTGGCAGCCCCACCCTAATCTTATTATGTAAATGAACTTTCCCCTTGGCCGGGACCATCTTGTCTCCTCCTTACTGTACACGTGGCTGACAGAAGGGAAGATGGAGCTGCCATCTTGAACATGATTGGCACAACTGCCGGCATCTATGCCTGCAACTAGATTTTACAGGCTGCTCTTTGTTAAAAATGTTTTGGGGCTGCTTTTCATTAAAAACAAAAGCCTTACTAAGGACTTCTGTGCCCTCACTCTCTGTCTAAGTAATTTCTTCTTAACTCCTGTATCAAAAG